CGTGGGAGTCTTGAGGAAGCCACACCCCAAGTCTCTGCAGCTACTTTTTCGCGGCTGCCGCACATCCGAAGGCGCCGGATTGGCTGTTGGTCCTGGCCTTGGCTCAGGGGACCGCGGTTGAGGAAGAGGTGAGAGAAGGCGGTGACGCCGGGCGGTGACGTCATATCCGCCCGTAGTGGGGCGGGGCTTACCTAGTGCGCGTCAGCGCCGGAATCGCTCGGGGTGGTCAGGTGCCACGCAGCCCAACCCTTCTCTGCCCTGGGCTGGTGCCTTGTCCGGAGCCAAACTTTGTGGTTTTGTGTTTGCGTTGGCTTTCACTGCCTCCGCGAAGCCTCTCGCATCCTAAAGCTCCCTGTTGCAGCTCTTTAGCGGTGTCTGGCCACAGGATCGTTACTTCAAAGGGCTCTTTTTTGCCTTGCGTGCATGTCAGAGCTAAAGGGTCTTGGGCACCCGCTGTACGCCAGGCACCGTGCGGAAGCGCTTGGAAATGAGAAAAGGCAGTCACTGGGGGAAAGTGTGTTAAGGACTTTCCGACCTTATCGCTGAGATCGAGTGCACTCTTCCTACCGGATTGTTTCAGATCTACCCCAGATTGAGAATCATCTGAGGTGCTCTTTAAAAATGTTCGCAAGCTCTACACTTGGCTCCCACACCCCAGGTTAATTTGACAAGACCCAGAAATCTTCTTTTTAACAAGCCACCCCGCCCAAGTGTTCTTAACGGGAGACGTGTTGATTTGACATTTCCCTGAGTATTGACGGGTATTTTGCACCATTACACACAGCTTTGGGGCTAACTAGGCTTCCAGATTGGCTGGAGTAATGCTGGTCTATAGATTCTAGGAGTATCGCTGTGTATAAGACAAGCATAAGTTCCTTCAATGGAGTTCAATAAAACATTATAGAGACAGTAAAATAATAAAGACCGTTTTAAAGAGTTTTGTAAAGTCAATAATCAGCAGAAGGTGGAAAAATAACTTTTGGTTTGGTGGTCAGAATGAGTCTCTCTGAGCTGCCATCTAAGCTGAGGTATGAGTCATGTAAATAGGTGCAAAAAGAACCTTTTAGGCAGGGGTAACTAACTGCCTTCTTCTCCAGAGGGATTATTTTGTATTATAGGAACTAAGAGCCCAGTGTTGCTGTGAGCTCAGTAGCCAAGGAGAGGGAAAGAAGGACCAGACAGTGCAGGCCCTTGTAGACCATGTGAATAGTTTCTTCTTGACCTTAAGGAAGGATGTTCCTATATCTGGATAAGGAAACAAATCAGACTCCATTTTCATGATCCTAAATCTCCTACAATTTTAATTCAGGAATGTTTATCTTTCCAAACAACTCCTAACCATTCCTCTCGATTTTTTCTATCATTTTAGTATCTTTTTAAAATACAGTCAACTACCTGTATCTTTTCAGAAGTGAGTAATGCTGGTTATTATAGTCAGTGTTGAACAAAGATGGTAGATGTGAGTCTCAGTCAGGACGCTTGTAGAGGACTCTGTTTGCCCTCTGAACTTTCCAGATGAGCCTGGGATGGACAGACTGATGTCTGCCTTTTTTCAACATGGATACCAAAGGCCTGTGTACTCCTCTCTACAGGCCATTAAGTCTGCCAATATCCTGTTCAATCTTTGCTTAGAAATCACACTTGCTTCAGGAACCAGCAGTTAGCGTAATGGCTATGTCGCTGGACTCCCATGTAGTCGACTGTGGTTTGCATCCCGGACCCGGTGGCTTAAAACTCATGCCAGGCACGTGTGCATGTGGGCCCAAGATCCCAAGAGGAGAAGGGATTGCAGGGTGATTTCTTGCTTTCTGTCTCTATGTTTCTCTCTGTCTGTCTGGCGAGCGCACGCACCCTATAGCAAAAACCTCTCCAAAAAAAAGAGAAAGAAATCACACTTGCTTCTTTTTTTCTTTTCTTTACTTATCGTAAGAGTGCATGAACATGAGTGAGACAGAGAAAGAGAGAGACAGAGAAAGGGTGGGATGAGCACCCTCCATAGGATCTGGCCACACTGCAGTCCCCTTCCCCAAGTCCTCCAACCCAGGAGATCTTGGCGGTGTTTCAGTCTAACCAGGCTGGGGATATGAACCACAGCTGCCGTGTGGGATCTAGCTTCTCTTGAGCAGCACGCTACTGCTGCACTGCAGAGTCAGCCCTTGCTCGCTCTTTATGTTCTATATTTAAAGATGGGGAAGAAGGACAGACCCAATCACCAGCCGCAAATGAGGTAACAGAGTTGGGATCAGCTGTCACCCTTGGCCCCAGGGAAAATAATAAAAGGACTCACTCCCCTTCTCCACGCTGCATCTTTAACAGCCAGTAGGTAACGCTCCTAAGGATCAGGGCTCTTGCCTGTTGCTGAGGAATCCACACCAAAGTTGAGGCTTAAGACCCTTTGGTAGGCATGGGGCAGGAAGACTGAGGTAACAGCTCTTTGACAATTGGCAACAGATTAAAGGACAAAGAGGCTACAGTCTTCTTCACCTCTGGCTCTTAGTGCATCCCCAGCTCCTAAATCTAGCTGTTGATTCAGTGTCCCCATTTGGAGTACCACAGTTATCCTTGAATTCATGGGTTCAAAATGAAATTAAGGAATGGAGCTTTTCTCTGCCTCACCTGCAGTCTCTCCCATTTCAGGAATGGCAGCTGTCCTTTGAGTGGCTGGGTAAAAACCTTGGCCGCATCTTTGACTCCTCTGTTTTTCTCACACCTCACATGTAATCGATCAGGAAATCCTGTGGGCTTCCTCTTTAAAGTGCATCCAGACTCTGACCTCTTCCCATTACCTCCGCCTTGGTCCACTGTCATCTCTCCTTACATTGTCACTGGCCTCCTGCTTCCACCCTGGTGCCTCATCCTGCACAGTCAGTACAGTAGCCAGGTTGATCTTGGTAGGGAATCTGAGCAAGGACGTGTCTCACCTCTGCTCAATACCTTCCAGAAGAAAAGCAGTGATCCTTGCAGTGGCCCTCAGGGCTTTCCTCCATCTCTGAGCTCACCCCTCCTGCTCTCTACTCTCACTGGAGGTTACCTCCGTGTGCACATTCAAGGCAACTTGAATTACCGCATTTAAGCTGCGGTCCTCAACCCTGGCCCAAATAAAAGTTTTTCTTTATATTTTCTGCTTCAGTTTCTTCCTTATAGGTCAACATTTCTAAATACATGAACCAGTAACGTAGTTATTATCATCATCAAGTAAATGTGCTGTACATAAATGTATGTGCTATGCTCTGACATGACTGATAGCACAGTAGGCTTGTTTATACCAGCATCACAAATACACGAGTGATGCGAGAGGAAAATTCAGCACCATCATAATCTTATGGGACCCTGGTATGTGCGGTCCCTCATTGACAAATGTCATTAAGCAGCACGCAGCTATAAACTACCAAAGAAAAGAAAGCGCACTACTTTTTAAAAAACTCTAAAACGTAATTAAATATATAGCTTAAAGAGAAAATACTTACATCTTCAGGCTGAAACACCATTTGCAGAATGGCTGAAAAAAATGTAAACGTTTGGGACCAGCAGTTAGCGTAATGACTGTCGCTGGACTCCCAGGTAGTCAACCATGGTTCGTGTCCCGGACCCGGTGGCTTAAAAACTCATGCCAGGCACATGTGCGTGTCTGCCCAAGATCCCAAGAGGAGAATGGAGGAGAAGGGATGTAAACGTTTGAATGTGTAGCCTACAAAGCAAAATGCCAGCTGTAAATATGATGCTGTAAAGTTCACGGTTAGATTCAACTTTTTTATTTGGTAAGTACTTCATTGTGCTGTTCTTGTTTTGTTAAAGTGCCAAAAAGATGGATGAAACTGTTGCTGAGTTTATCAGGAGGACCATCTTGAAAATCCGCATGACCGAAATGATGACAATCCTAAAAGCCTGGAACTTTTTGTCTGATAATGAACTGCAGACCATAAACTTTCGGCAGAGAAAGGAATCTTTGGTTCAGCACTTGATTCTGCTGTGCGAGGTAACAATAGTCAAACTAATTAGCCTTGAACATGCTACCCTTTGGGTTTTCTTTCTTCCTTTCCTGAGTCCAAAAAAGGATTTAAGGCAGCTGCTAAACTGTAATGTGAGGGCTAGCAGGGGTAAAATTAGTTTGTAATTGGTTTTTTCAACATAACAAAAAAGGCTTACAAATCACTAAGAAAAAAGAATACCTCGGGGGAGGGAAAAAATCAATACAAGTTAAAATAATGAACAATTTCTTGCAGTTTTTTTTTTGACCTATCTAGTTATTAACGATGGAAAGATAACACTCAAGTACATTGGTAAAATTCTGAGGAAAGAGACCCTGACTTTCACGTGTATTTATGTACTCATTTGCTTTTTGTTGCAAAATGATTTTATAATCTCATGAAAGTTGCAAAAATGAGGCCAGCCTCATAGCCTAGTAGTTGAGGGAGCCAGATCCCACGTGGCTGACCATGGTTCTGATCTCAGCCCAGCAGCCTGAGTAACATGCCAGGTATATGTGTATGTATGCCCCAAATCCCAGTAGGATAGATAAATGGAGAGAAGGGGTGTGGTGTGACCATGCCCCATTCGGGGGTGCTTTTTCCTGCTCCCTCACTCTGATTTTCTCTGATGAGGACACATGCCCTCTGGCAATTAAAAAAATAGATTTTTTTCATTGTTTGCATGTTCAGGTTTTTTTCTTTCCTTTTTTATTTTTTAAAGAAAAGTTGCAAGTATAGTACAAGGAATCCCCATGTACCAATACAGCCTTCCCTCACTCACTTTAAATTCACTCTAAATACTTTTTGACATAGCAGTTCTACATCTGGAAATTTATACAGAGAACATAATAAAGGTAAAGAAATATATATAAGTAAGTCATATTTTATAAATACATATAAAGATATTAGCTATAACATTTTAAAAACAAAAAATGGGAAACAGCTATATGTAGAAAATTGGCTAAATAATGATATATGCATTTATAAAATATTCTTCAGCTATTAAAAAGAATAAGTTAGATCCCCCAGACTGTGGAGACACACCACAGTCAAAACTATGGGATAGGATGCTCCCAACTACTACCTGATAGAGGCCAGGGGTGCTCCTTAACATCTTAGGCTAGCCTTCCACATCGTACAGCCATCTGGCCCAAAATGTCAAGAGTGCCAAAATGAGAAACCCTGGTGCGAAACTCTAGAAGGATATAAACCAGTTAACAATGTCAGTAACATAATAGCAGGAAACAAGCATTTCACTTTTTTTTTAACGAGTTATTTATTTAATTATATAATTAATTATTATTGTTATTTTTTAACTTGACCAAAGAGAGGCTCAGAGAGAAAGGGAAAGTGAGAAAGCAAGCTGCCAGGTCTAGAACTCCAACCACAGTTGGCCATGTGGGAGTCTAGCATCCCAGCCATCAAACCAGGCCCCAGCATTTCACTTTTTATCATGCACATTGTTATACACGTCAATATAAAAAGCACAGTTTTTTATTTAAATATAAAATCTTGCGGGAAATGTCTAGTCTATTTCATTTTACATACTGAGCACCTATGAAACTAATACCCAGATCTAGAAGCATTACTGTTGGATTGGCCCTGGAATACAACAGTTAGGTCCTGTACATAGGGAGCCAGATCCCATGCAGCCAGTCCTAGTTTGCATCCCGGCCCTGGGTGGCTTGAAAAACATACCAGGTGTGTGTACAGCCCAAAATCCTGATGGGACGGACAAAAAAGGATGGTGGCATGACCATGATCCATTGGGGGTGTTTCTCTCTCTCTCCTCTATCCCTCTCTCTCCCTCCCCCCCCCCCCACAAGGGCAGGCACTCTCTGGCAATTAAATATTTTTAAATTTAATTAAAATTAGAAATAGTACCATCACTATTTCTCCTGTTGCCAAGGGTACCAAGTACTCTGACTTCTAACAGCATAGGTTGATTTTGCCTGCCTTTGTCCTCTAAGTAGAATCATACCTTATGTTCTCTTGTACCTGGCTTCTGTCACTCAATGTGAGAGTTGTGATACTCAGCCATTTTATTGCATGTAATGGGTTTTTCTTTCTTATTGCTGAATTCCATTGTGTAAATATGCAATTCATTTATCCACTCTACTGTTGCTTGTTTTGTGTGCATGTGTGCGGGCATGTGTGTGTGTGGTATTTCTTTTGTTTAAACAAGTTGGCAGTTTCTAACCCTAGCCTCTCAGGTAGCTAGAACCACAAACCTGCACCATCACACCTGACTCATTCCAATAGTGTCTTGCCATGTTGCCCACACTGGCCTTGAACTCATGATCTTCCTGCCTCAGCCTCCTGAGGAGCTGGGACTGCAAAGTATACCACTTCATTCAGCTTTTTTTAGGGAGGGACAGGAATCAAACCCAGGCCTTCCATGTGGCTACAACCTGCCAGGCAGCAGCATCTGGTGTGCACTACCACAGCTGGGCTAATCCATTCTATTGCTGATGGGCATTCTGGTAGTTTCAAGTGCTTGGCTAGTAAGGTGGTGTTCCTGTGAACGCTGCTAGCGTTCTTCATGTATTGCACTTACATTTTGGTGAAACCATGTGCTCGTTTCCATTTGGTATGTACTTCGGAGTGGAATTGTACTTTTCAAGGATCTGCATATATTTAGCTTTGACAGTTAACACTAAAGAGTATTCCAAAGGAGTTTTTCCAGCTTATATTCACCAGGAGTATGGAGTGCCATCACTGGGTCAGTGAGTATGAGAATATTAAGCTTCTGTAAATAGCACAAAACCATTTTACAAGGAGTTGCATGGTACTACAAGATCAGCTCCACATTCTTGTCACAGTTGATATTTTCCATACTCATTTTAGCAGATGTGTAGTTTAAAATGTGTAATTTTAATTTACATTTCCCTAATGACAAATGGCCTGAAGGCCTATTTCATATGTTTATTAGTCATTTGGATATTCTCTTCTTTTTTTTTGGAGAGGTTTTTGCTACAGGGCACATGTGCGTGCCAGAAAGACAGAAAGAGATAGAGAGACAGAGAGCGACAGGCTTTTTTATAGAAACTGACAAGCTGGTTCTGAAATTCATATCTAAATGTAAATGATCCTGAATAACTAACATAAATTTGAAAAAGATAAAAATTAAAGGACTAAAATTACCCTAATTCAAAATAATTCATAAAACTAGAGTCATTGAGATAGGGTGAAACTAGCATGCAGATGGACCAAAACATCAAAGTAATAGAATAGAGAAATAGATTCATATATGGCTGATTTTTGACAGGCTAACAGAGCAATTTTGTGAAGAAAGCATACTCCTTTTAACAAAAGCGACTGTAATAATTGGATACCCACACAAATTTAATACCCATTCAAGTTCAAAACATGAATTCGAAACCATTCCCCACACCATTTTTAAAAATTAGCTCAGGATGGATTCAAGACCCAAATATAATGGCTAATACTATAAACAGGTAGAAAAAGGAAAAAGTCTTAGAGATCTTGGACTAAGCAAAGATTTCTTAGGTGCAACAACAAAACATAATCCATAAAAGCAAAAATAATTGAAAAAGTATACTTCATCAAAATGAGTAACTTCTCCCTAAAAGATACTGTTGGGTGAATGAAAAAACAAACCGTGGGGGTGGAAACTATTTCCAAATCATTCTCTGATAAAGAACTTGTAACTAGAATATACAACAAATCCTCAATTGTCAATAATAAGAAAACAAACAATGAAAAGAATCAGCCACAGTAGTACACACTGTAGACACTGCTACTCAAGCAGGCCAGGGCCCCATGGGAGGCCCAGGTTCAATCCCCAGCCTACCCTGAAAGCCAAGCACAGTGGTGTGCATCTGTAGTTCTAGCTACTCAGGAGGATCATGGCATAACAAGACCCTGTCTTTAAAAAAAGAGGGAGGGGGGATTTGATTGAACACAAACATACACTTCAATAAGATAGGCAGATGGCAAATAAGTACATGAAAAGATGCTTGAAGCCCAGCTGTGGTGATGCATGCTATTAAATCACTTTTCTGCAGGCCCTGTAATTCCAGTGACTTGGGAGGCTGAAGCAGGAGTTGCTAGCTCAAGGCCAGCCTGGCAACATAGTGAGATGTTCTTTTTTTTTTTTTTTTTTTTGTAGGTTTTTGCTATAGGGGCATGTGCTCGCCAGAAAGACAGAGACAGAGAGACAGAAAGCGAGGAATCACCCCCCAGGGCGGGCGGCCACACCACAGTCCCTTCTCTGTTTTCCTTTTGGGATCTTGGGCATATACACACATGTGCCCGTGTGAGTTTAAGCCACCGAGTTCGGGAATTGAACTGTGACTCTGTTCTTAAAGAGAGATGCTCAAAATTCTTAGTCATTAGAAAAATGGAAATGAAAGTCACAATACTTACTAGAATGACTGAAAATTTTAGAAGACTGGCCATACCTAGTGGTAGCTAGGATATAGAAAAACTGGAACTCTCATAGCTGCTGGTGGGAATGGAAAATGGTACAGCCACTTTGGAAATGAGTGTGGCATTTTCCTTTTTTAAGAAGTTTGTTTTTTTTGCCTTAAGGAGTGTGCACTTGCTAGGGAA